CGATGATTGACGAAACTCCAGACGATTGACGATTAATAAAAATATTAACGAGCTTTTTATAACGATATCTGATATGCTATATAGCCGTTAGTTCGTTATAAAAAAGTTGACTATACGAAAAATTAACAAATTCATAAAATTGTTTTAGAATCTGATGCCGGTAATGTCTTCACTTAATTCTTTTGTGAGACCCATCGGTGGTTAACGCTATCTGTTAGAAAAAAAGAAAATAAGTAGAAAATGGGTAAATATAATAATGTAAACAAAAATTAATAATTTATTAAAGAAAAATAATCATAGTTAATGTTTCATTAATCACATATGTTTCATCATTCATCATTATTCATCAATTCGTTAAATAGAAATTGTTTAATAAAAAGTTTCCCGTTCGTAGATACGTGAGAATTTAAAACTTTGATACAATAAACTCACCATTTTTATTGATTGATTCAACACTTATGATTCATAAATCGCATATGTTTTAATCATTTGTCAAAGTTTTGATATTCATCAATTCGTGAATTAGAAATTGCTTAATCAAAGGCCGTTTATAGATACGTGAAAATTAAGTTCTTGATAAAACGACATTTTTTCCGGTTTCATTTTTAATTCGACACTTGTGCTTGATTAATCACGCATTCATTATCATAAGCCGTTCGTAGAACATGAAAATTAACCCTTGGTACTCATTTTTTCTTTTTTTTGCCTGAAGAGTCTTGCATAAATACTTTGGCTAATGACTGGAAAAGACGGATTTCGGTTTTCATCATAGAAAAAGGCATAAAAAGACTATTAAAAAAAAAAAAAAAAACAGTATAAAAGTACTAAATAAGATCAATTAACTCAGCGAATGCAAGATTAATATAAAGGGTTTTTAATACTTTATATTACCATATTTCACACTTCCGATGCTAAATATTCCTGATTAATTTCACGATTCGTAGAAATAGATCGAAGAATATTGCTAACAACTCTTGGTCTGTTCAACGATTCGTGTAACAAATCCAAAAATGTCAGCCTTCGTAACATATCGATAAAATTTCACAATTCGTAGAAATAATATCAAAAAATGGTACGGACCCATGGCAATTTTTAACTTGTTAAACCGAAACGATATATTTTTTTTTTACTTTTTTTTTGCTTTTTTTTTATTTTTATTTTTTTATTTTTTTTTTATTTTTTTTATTTTTTATTTTTTTTTTCATTTTTTTTTTCATCATTTTCTTTATAAAATAAATTATATTTGAAATTGGCGAATTCAACCCTGGACGCATTTCGTTCCATTAAAAGCTTCTGCGCTCTCTTTTTTAAACGGGTTGCTTCGGTGTCGGCTGCTTCCCAGAGGGAAACAAATTGCTCCCGTTCCTCTTCCACGAGTTTTTTGGCCGACTCATGTTGATGCCTAACAAATTAACATGCCCATGTAAACCCTATTAGTAATATTCTAATAATTTCACGATTCGTAGAAATATGTTAAAACATTACGGAGTTCATAACAGTTCCGATGTACTCATATACTTGCATATAGAGATACGCCAGAAGTGCTAGGTGAGCGATCGAAAGCA